ATCACTACACGGTCACTTACACTGTACAAAACAGAACTCCCAAGGCTTTTTTATTTATTTATGTATCTTATTCGTAATCAGCTTTAAAGAACGACTAGATTATACACATCAGTCACTGCACACTGTAGAGGTCATTTTGGTTGGGATCTGATCAGGGGCGGACTGACCATTTGGAAACTCGGGCACTGCCTAGGGCCCGGGGTCAGTAGGGGGCCCCATGAGATGCCCCTGGTATATTTTTAATAGTTTTTTTTGAGTTTGGGCAAGGACACAGGGGTCCCATGATCCCCTATTCCCGGGGGCCCCATGGGTTTTCAGTCCGCCCCTGGATGTAATGACTATACTAGTGTGTTTTTGGGTTGCACCAGGAAATTGGAGCATCAGGAGGAAACCCATTCAAATGTAGGAAGAACCTAAACACACCATTTAGAGCAGGAATGTCAAACTGGTGGCCCTCCAGCTGTTGCGAAACTACAAGTCCCATCGTGCCTCTGTCTTTGGGAATCATGCTTGTAACTGTCAATCTTGAAATGCCTCATGGGACTTGTAGTTTGGCAACAGCTGGAGGGCCACAGTTTGACACCCGTGATTTAGAGTGTCTGGTGGGAATTTAATTTAACATATTGCCCCAGCACTGGTAGACACTGCTATTTTAAAAGACACCAGGTTAGCACAGAGTGCATCAGACATTTAACAGATTGCAGTTCTTATAAAAGATTATTCCTGGAATGGATCACCCTTTCCCAAAATCAAATTTCATGTAAAATCCAGTTCCTACCATGGTGTGCATGTGCAAGAGAAGTGAAGGAACCTTGCCGGGATGTTTGTGGAAGAAAGGTTGTGCAGCATTGGACAGAGCTACACAGTAAAGATTGCTGGAAAGGGGATGAAGCTAAACATTGGACCAAGTTGGCTGCACTCCGGAGGCCCTCCACAGCCCTGCCATTTTTTGCGATACTTTACTTTACTTTAACTGACAATTGTGCGGTCATGCAACGCTGCACCCAAATTAAATGTATGTCCTTTTCTTCCCACAACTAGAGCTTTCTTTTGGTGGTATTTGATCGCCTCTAAATTTTTTTTTTTTTGCGCTATAAACAAAAAAATACTGACAGTTTTGAGAAAAAAACGATATATTTTTGACTTTTTGCTATTAAACATGTCCAGTAAAAAAATTTTTTAAAAAATCAAATTTCGTCAAATTTAGGCCAAAATGTATTCTGCTACATTTTTATGCTATACAAAAAATCCCAATACATGTAAATTCATTGGTTTACATGAAAGTTATGGCGTCTACAAATGGTGGTATATACAGTAGCTCACAGAAGTGAGTACACCCCTCACATTTTTGTAAATATTTTATTCCATTTTTTCATGTGACAACACTAAAGAAATGACACTTTGCTACAATGTGACGTAGTGAGTGTACAGCTTGTATAACATGTAAATTTGCTGCCCCCCTCAAAATAACTCAACAGCCATTAATGTCTAAACCGCTGGCAACAAAGGCAAACAAGGCATTTGCCCTGGGTGGCATTTTTTAGGGGGGGCGGCATCGGCCCCCAGAAAAAGGGACACTCATGGCAGGTGACAAGGGATGGGGACCAGGTGAAGTACTGCTTGAGCTCTGCCATGGGATCCGAGAGAGGCTGTGGGCTGCTGGAGGGTGTAGAGACTGACTCTTGTTCCCACACAAGGACAACACTGGGCTTTCCTGACCATGTCTCCGGGATGGCCAGCTGCTTTCATTCCAGAGGTGAGTACTGGAGGAATGTCTCTCTCTCTCTCCTTTTTCTCTTTTTATTAGACTGTGTGTGTATGTGTGTGTGTGTGTGTGGGGGGGGGGGGGGGTCTGGTCTGAAGGCAAACCGTTTCTACTATTCCGCCCGCTGCCTGGATATCCAAAGGCGGACTTTCCACTTACCTGAACTACACGTGGATCTCGAAGCTAGACACCATATGCAAAGCCTGTCACTAAGGGGTTTATTTACTAAAGCTGGAGAGTCCAAAATCAGACTCCCTTCTGCATAGAAACCAATCAGCTTCTAACCTCAGCTTGTTCAATGAAGCTTTGGCAATGAAACCTGGAAGCTGATTGGTTTCTATGCAGAAGTGAGTCTGATTTTGCACTCGCCAGCTTTAGTAAATAAACCCCTAAGAGTCTGAGTTGGATTTCCTTTGGCACCATTTCTTTAATTGGACCACTATTTCTTCACTATTGATTTGGGACCGTGGACTTTATTCATTCACATGCAGAATTTTTTATTTATTTTTCACATAAATGTAATTTTTTTTTCACATATATTTATATTTGTTTCACTGATGCAGTTTATTTATTTTTTATTAATAATTTCCTTCACTGATGATTGAATCATTTTTTATTGATTGATATTATTTATGATTTATATAATGCTCTGTGGTAATATTGGTTTTTCATTCACTTGAATGGGCTGCCCTACCTGCAACAATTGCCCCAGAGAAGTGCCAGGACTTTTTTTGGAGCGGAGTATGGTACGTTACCGTAGTTTTTTGTGCATTTGCAGCACTTGAGGTGCTTTTTTTAACATGTAATGACATCACAAACACCAAGCACATTTGCAGCTTGTTTCTGAAACACATGGCAAAGCATGCATATTCTGTGCAGTTTGCCATGTGTTCAGAAACACACAGATCTGAATGGAGCCTCGCTGTTCTTGTGTAAATAAACTAATTTTACTTTCAGACCCCATTTACACCTAGAGTGTAAAGAGGACTTTATTTCTCGGTTGCATTTTTGTTCTCTTTATATCTTTTGTAGCATCTTTTTCTGTAAATATTTTAATTGCACCATTTTGACATTTTTAGTAATAAACCCTATTTTAAAAAGTGTTGAAACTGTCTCTAAAGCTTTTAATGCAAACTAAAGAATCCCTGTCTCTTTAAGAGTGTTACTGTATGTAATAACCCTCTGAATATCCCTGTCTGTGGTGACAGTGTGTTGCAGATGCTTATGCTAATATCATAGTGTGATTGCTAGGATTTGTGAGTTTCCTCCTTCTCTGTAAAAAGGTGGTGGTGGCAGTGAAGGGTTAATTGTGTAATTAACCTAACCCAGTAACAATCACTCTCAGACTGCTGGCACATAGATTGTGGTCCCGCGAGCTGGAAAATCTTTGTGCATGGTACAGCTGAGAGTGGCATTTTACGCAAGTGACAGTGCGGTGCGAGATTGGCTGGTCCTTTGTCACAAGTTGGTGAGAAGGGCAAGGGTCGGGCGCCGCGTTCTGTCACACTTACCACTCAGCAAAAACTAACCTTCGGTCACTACATTAGGGTAAATGCTCCACTGAACAATACTGTTCTGATTTCTGCCAATGGTCACCTGACTCAGGGTGGAATGGCCCAGGTCTAAGAAACCAGTTCAAGTTAGGCTTATCAGACTCCATCAAAGACTCTGTAGTACACTACCCTGAACCAAAGTCGTTGAATGAAGCCATGCTCGTAGCCATTCATATAGACAGGTGTTTATGGGAAAGCCGTACTGAGAGGTTTGTTCCTCTGCTCCCTAGTACACTGCCCTCTTCTTCTCTATCAGACCTTCCTGAGCTCTCTCTCAACCTCTCTAGGAGGAGGAGCCCATATAACTTGGTGCTACTCATTTATCCTCTGAGGAAAAGGCTAGAAGAAGATCCCAGGGACTTTCTGTGGTGACCACGGCCACTTTGTCGTCAGTTGCCCCAATAAGCAGGGGAATGCCAAGAGTCTAGTGCGGGTGGGGGTCTGCTGATTTAGACTATCCAGTGCCAGGTTCCCCCTGAGATAAACTATTTGTTCCTGCACATCTTGGTTCTGCCACGTTTTCTCAGCACCTCTCAGCTTTCTTTGATTCTGGTGCCAAAAGCAATTTCATTGACCGTAACCTAGCACACAATCTACAGATTCCCTTGACTAACGTGCACAGACCCTTTTCAGCCTTAGCTGTTGAAAACTCTCCCTTATCCATGGGCCTGATCACCTTGTGCAATGTACCTATTACTCTGACCATTGGGGAATTTCATAAGGAGACAGTCGGCTTCTACCTGATCTCTCCTGCTTATCCCCTTATCTTAGGTTTTCCTTGGATTAAACTTCATAATCTGCACATAGATTGGGCTACAGGAAAGATTAGCTCTTGAACTGCATTAAATCTGCTGACATGTTGCCTATTTGTGACTCTTTTGTGGCCAATACTAGTCCCTTGCCTTTATTACAGTCCTATTTGGATCCTGATCATGACAACCTTTCCAAGTGTACTTTACTTTACTTTACTTAACCATTTGCTTTTATATGACTCTACTGTAGCAGAAGACACTGACAAGTTTATTGAATCATCCACAGGCCCCCTTTGCAGCCAATTGCTACAGTTTGAATCTTTTCCTCTTAGAGACCGGCCTGCTGTCTTGCAGCCTTGAGTCCTGTTTCCTCTACGTTTCACAATATCTTACCTCCAGCACAAGTAATGGAGACCCTTTCCCATGACCTCATTTTAAAGGCTCAGTCCAGTGCTCCGTCCAGGCTACCCCCTGGAAAGCTGCTTGTTCCCCCTCCACCTTAGGCTTAGAGTGCTTTCAGGGGCACATGACACTAAGATGGCCGGGCACCCAGGGATTATTAAAACTTTTTCTTTGGTTTCTCGTGGGCTTTAGTGGCCCTCTCACCATAAGGACTCCTGTTCCTATGTAAAAGCTTGCAAAACTTGTGCTCACTCAAGTCCTCAAAAGTCAAGCCCCTCTGGATTACCCCTACCTTTGCTTGTCCCTAGACACCCTTGGAGCGCATTCAGGCTAACTTGTCTACAAGTTCTGCTGCCTCTTCCCCCTTAATCTACAATCAACATGCCCAGGTTTATGAATAGAGGAGACATCACTGTTTCATATAAACAATTAACTGAATTTTATTACTGAGGATCAGATTAGTTGATCAGGATTAACTGCTGGTAACTGGTGACTTCCATTTTGCGAGGTTTCTAGTTGAAGACTTTATTAGATGAGCACATAAGATAGTTTTACATCTCCTTCCACTTCCAGGGTGTCCACTTGTGCCAAATTAAAAAAACGCGGTAACCGTAGTCACAAAGGGGACTTCCATTCATAAAGATCTTAAATGACTTCTGTCCAGAGCGAATAGAAAGCTGGAAGAAAAAACACATATAAGCTCACAGTATCTAATTATGACCATGGACAATACTGGGTTTGAAGTTCCTAATATTAAAATGATGTAACAAAAATGATGCATTTTGAACAGCCTATGGCCAACCAGCTGTTAGTGAATCACAAATCTCACCATAGCTAATTAGCAGTTGGCAGGTCATCCAGCCTTGATTCAGAGGTCACAATAAAGACCAGACATACCTGCTTGAAACCCAATGACAACATTCTTTCTCTGTATCTTAAAGCTGAGCTTCATCCAAAGGGGAAGTCCTACTCTTCCTCCTCCTGGCCCCTTCTCTGCCACATTTGGATTTTTTTGGGGGGAGTGGGTAACTGGTTTTTAAGTTCTCCTCCCCCCTCCCTTTGCCCAAACCCTTTTGGCACACATTTCCCAGAAGCTGTTAGACCATTCAGATAGCACTGTGGGCAGCTGGCTGTAAAGCCTCAAGGAGTCCCATGCGGCTGCCCACAGTCAAGATGCCGATACCAGGAACTGAAGACCGATGAAGAAACTGGCTCGGGTGAGGACAACACTGGATCCCTGGACAGGTGAGTGTCTGTTTATTAAAAGTCAGCAGATACAGTTTTCTTAGCTGCTGACGTTTAATTTTCACACATATGACTGAAACTCCTCTTTAAAAGAGTATTAAACCCAAAACCATAATTTTAATATCTTGCAGTTTACCAATGATTAGACATGGTGGCTGCATTAGTTTCCTTTTTTTCCCTTAGTTTTCACTTGGTGATCTGATCTGGCCAGTAACACACCTCCTGTATTAGAGTGCCTCTGCTCTGGTTAAAAGAGCCCAGGGAACACCTTTGGACAGCAGCATTGTTAATCTGGGGCGAGGAAAACATTAGATGTACTAGCAGCAGGGGCGGACTATTTGGAAACTCGGGCACTGCCCGAGGGCCCGGGGTCAGTAGGGGGCCCCATGAGATGCCCCTGGTACTTTTTTCATAGGTTTTTTTTGAGTTTGGGCAAGGACACAGGGGCCCCATGAGTTGTCAGTCCGCCCCTGACTAGCAGATTAAGATACATTACCAAATTGAACTCCAGCTAATACTTCATAAGCAGTTACAGCAGTTTTTTCTTCTGGCAAAGGTTTTGCATGAATAAATAAATGAAATCTGACTATTGTAAGCACACCCAGCAGTAGTAAATGATTTGTCTCAACCCTATAACAGCTGCATCTGCAGAATAGCTTGTTCAGGTGAAAAACAACAGACTTACTAGCCAGATCATCAGGTGAAAATAAAGGAAAGAGAGCCTAAAAAAGAAAACTAATGCAGCCATCACATCTAAGAATCGGTAAGCTGCAAGATAATAAATGTTTGCTTTTGGGTTTAATTCCACTTAAATGGTGCAGCAACTGCAGTTTCATCAGCTGCAAGTGTGACTACGCCAAAAGATCTGCCTTGTAACCGCTTATTGCCACTTTGGCTCGCTCATGGTCAGTGTTCAGGCTGCTCGACAGGCTCAATAAATATACAATTACAGTGAATTGAACAGTCTTACCTTTCCAACAAATGTCTTAATCTGAAAATGTTCAGAACTTTGGCTTTCAAAAAAATAATCCAGCTCACCATTCAATCACTCTGTAGACTACTCAAAAACTGTATGGTCATGTCACTCCCTATATATTGACTTTGCTGCAGCACCCTTTGCATATTAGGCCCCTTTCACACTGATCACTTTGTCTTCCATTTTTACCTTACCAAAAGCGGAAGAAAAATACATGACAATTAAATCCTTTGGAGCAGTTCAAGCCAATCAGTTGCGGGACAGTTGCATCTCTAAAAATACTGCACGCTGCATTTTTGGTGCGGTAAAAAAAAAAAACAACAAAAATGCAACTCTCCATTGAAATGAATGGTAAACACATCAAACCCATGGCAAAAATGTATCAAAAACGCAGTTGCGGTTTTGGTGCATTTTAAAGTCACATGTCCTTTTTTTTTTTACAGGTGCAATACACACCAGAAACACTGTACATTTCTGCAACAAAGCAGTGTGAAAGCAGCCTTCCATTGCCCAGTAACTTACCTCAAAGTAGTCACCCTGCTTGACTGGGTTTTTGGTAACCTGTGTTTCTTCTTGTCCCCAGGTACCATTGACGAAGCTGTTCCTGATTAGAGCATTTTTTGACAGGCGGGGGTTAATATGCAATGCAATATCACTGCTGCTTCCATTTTTGAGGTTTATAGAAAAGCTTTAGAAAGAAAAGAGAAATTTACTTTTTATCATTAAAAAGGCTTCTGTTTTCAGTAAATATGAAAAAAAACCCCCCTCTGATGTATTAGAAATGGTCAGTAGTTACCCCTCCCAACACCCAACTATTAGTTGTTGACTGAATTTTGCTGTATTTTATGCATGTTTTCTACTATATTTATTAATGACTGTATTTGTTTTATAAATCAACATTAAGGTGCACCTGTGACAAAGGGTTCCCAGAGCACTGAGCGAATTTTAAAGACCATATTGTAGAAACTGATAGCCTCCCTGTCTCCTACCGAAATTTTGAGGGGATCCTACTGAACACAGAAAGAGGGAGGAGTCACTTCTCTGAAATTTCATTCTGCGTATATTTCAGCTTGTGCTACTGAGCTCTGTATATAGCAGGATTCTTTCAGTATTCTTTCAAGGATAGACCGCAAACCAGTGAAAAGTAGATGAGTGTGCCATAGTCTGGCACTGTGTGAAAATACTAAATATTAATATGCACATTGTAATTTGCTATGTCTGTATTTTTGCAGTAAGAGATGGTGTGTGATTTAAGTTGCCACAGCCCTAATGAATACACTACCAAGAAAGAGCCCATCAAATCCTAGTTCTTCCCCAGTGACATCACACCTCCAACACACAAACTGGACATTTTTCAGTGAGATCTCGCCTCCAGCGCACACACATTGGTCTGACCTCCACCTTCTGTTGCTCACTTGTGTGCCTATTACCATTTTTGTTGTTATTTTGGTTGCTAAATATGGAAAAATTAGTAACCACTTTTTGTGACTCAAATGGTTAAAGCGGAACTTCTCCAAAAGTCAGCAGCACCAGAGCATCATGAGCAGACCTGACTAATCCATCACAGCACTCTGTTAACCACTTGCCGTCCGCCTGCTGTTTATAAACGGCAGGGCGGTGGCACTCCAGGGGCGGGTTGCTGTTCATAAACGGCACCTGCCTTTTCTAGCTGTGCGCACTCCCTGGGAGCGCGCAGCAGCACCGCGATCTGGTGCCCGCTGTGTCCTCCGGACACAGTGAAACACCCATCGTCGGGCGGAACCTCTGTACGAGGTCCCGATCATGTGATCACTGATTGGCCAATCAGTGATCACATGCAAAGTAGTAAGCAAGATGTCACTTGTGACATCATTGCTTACTACGTGTGAAATCTGTGAATGATCACAGAGGTCACATGGTACAAGGCTATTCACAACAGCCTTGTACCATGTGACAAGGTGTGACCAATCACAGCTCACTCAGTATTTCTCAATGGCTGCAAGAATGCAGACAGAGAGAGAAATGATTGCTTTTACATTCTATATGGGTGTAAAAGCAATCACTGTAAAAAAAAAAAAAAAAAAAAAATCTTCATCACCCCCCACAAGTAGTACAGTTTCACCATGGTGACACTGTACTGCTAGGGTGACAGTATGTAAAAAAAATAAAAAAAAAAAACAATTAATAATACAATAAAAAACAAAATAAAAATGTTTAAAAATGATAATTTTTGGTTATAAACTAATTTGGCTTTTTTTTTTTTTTTTACTAAAAATATAACGGAATACATTTTGGTCAAGATTTATGATGAAAGATTATTTACTTGCAAAGTTTTATAAGAAAAACACTTTTTTTCCAAATTTTTGGACTTTTCATTTACATAGCAAAAAAAATAAAAATCACAGCGGTGAATAAATACCACCAAAATAAAGCTTTATCTGTCTAAAAAAAAAACAGTAAAAAATTCATATGGGTACAGTATTGCATGATCGCGCAATTGTCAGTCAAAGTATGATAGCGCTGAAAGCTGAAAATTGCCCTGGACAGGAAGGGGGTGAAAGTGTCCGGACAGGAAGTGGTTAAGCAGAGAACCCAACTAGATTTTACTAACAGCCTCTCTGTTAAGCAGATAAATACATCTCTACTTCTCCTAACTATACAAATCCTAGCAGCTACCTAGGAGGGTGCTACATGCGGTACCTTTTACTCTCGTGCCATTTTCACAAATGCCCTGGGACAGGGCTCTGTATCCTCTCCTGTGCCCATTGCCTGCTTCCATATCCTCCATACTACTCACCTACACATAGTATCCACTCTCATACCCTCTACACTTCACTCTTGCTTATAGTGCTCACTAAGACACTTCTTTAGGTTATATCCTAAACCTTTATCTGTTCTAAAGGACATATGTTAGCTAGTTAAAATTGAAAAGTTAATGAGCACTTTGTTTAAAGCAACCCAATGCTCAGAATATGCATACAATGTTTTTACATATGGTCAACAAGTAAAACAGGCTTCATCCACCTCTGTAGCTACAGGCATTGTGGAGAATTCTTCTTTGAAATTCAAAACAGGGGCACTAAAATCTGAGCTGATGTTTATAGAAAGTAGAAACTTGGCATTCTACCAGACCTGTAACAAGCAACAGGTGTTTCTTAAACTGAAATTAAACCCTCTGTTTTTAAACACTTTCAGCAACTAATTATATCACTTACTTAGTATGCAGCTCCTTTATCTTTTAATCCTTGCTTGAACTGGTGCCATGACCGCTGCAGGTTTCCTGTTTCAGGGTGGCTCCTTTCTCTTGCAGCATTCAATGGAGCCACTGTTGCATGCAGTGACTAGAGTTGTGTCTCTATACACTGTGTGCATCAAATTAAACACATAGCCTAATAGCCTAGAATGGTAAGGCCTTCCCCTGCCCCCCCTTCTTTTCCCTAAGCTAACAGACTGACTCCAGACTGCACTCTCCATGGTTGTCTCTCTCCTGTGAAGACCAGAAGTTGAGGGAAGCAGCACTGAGAGAACAGGACCCAGTAGCATTGAAAGTTGTAAACTTCAGATGCTGGGGCAAGAATTTTAACAAACAGTGTACTGGCTAATATTTATTTTGTTGTGCTCATGGTGTTAAGATAAATAATGCTGTTTTAATACTATTTTAAGCTATTAGAAAGCGACTGAAACTGAACTTCGGAGTCTTTGAGATTTTTTTTTAGAGTGAATTACTTTGCAGTAAAACATGGATTAGAGGTTGGGGTTGACATGCAGCTATTCTTCGCTTGTTAAAATTATGTAACAAATATGGGTTTACCTCCAGAACTATGCATTTCGTCCATAGGCTACAGGGAGGTCTGCGGGTGGCAAGTACTACCAGGGGAGTCAGATTGCCCCACTGTCTATGTTGCACGCCTCCTCTGATGTTCCTCTCTGGGTTCTTTTGGAACTGCCTAACTGTGCCCCTATCGCAACATTGACACTTCTATGGCTCCCCTCGGCTCTATGCCCGACGACACTGAGCCCAATTTTGCTTCATGGCCTGTGCGTATGGGACTCGGTTCGCTTCTCTGGTGGCTTGATGTCACCCTTTCTACCTCTGCTCCCAAATACTAATAACCCTCTTTTCTCACCGGGGTTAGATCAACCAGGGGCGTTCTGGTGGGTGGCCAATGGTTTTTTCGCAGGTGCGACACTTCTTGACCTCTCGGTCTTTCCCTACCTGGAATTCTCTTCGGAAATCATGGGATGTTCCCCCAGCAGAATTTTTTTGTCCTCTTCAATTGCGGCATTGACTGACCTCACTGCATGGTACATCCACCTTTCCATACCAGAAATCTGCCTTGGAACAGGTTTGCCAACAGTGACCTGGCGCCCCGGATCTTGTTTCCCTACCCTGCATCATTGAATAGGCGCTCAACGCATGCTTCCCTAACGTATGTCGGTCAATGGGAGCGCGATTTGGGGGCGATCGTAGATCAGGAGGACTGGAATAAGGCCTGGTCATTTATAGCTAAATGTTCATTTAGCACAAATACGCTGGAGACGGCATATAAAAGCACTGTTCTGTTGGTATTGGGTCCCGGCTCGTATAGCCCAGGTGAACTCTACCTATAGTGATTGCTGCTTTCAGGGTTGTGACCATCGCGGAGATGTATTGCATGTATGGTGGTCATGCTTGGGACGGATCCTGTTTTGGTCTCGTGTATTTGGCCTTCTCTGCAAATTGTTTCATCTCTCCATATGCCGGGAAGCCCGGTATGCCTTGCTTCATTGTCCCATACCAGGCCTGTTTGGCTCACCAGCAGAAACTGGCCTCCTATTTGTTCTTGTCGGCAACTAAAACAATTGCTCAAGCTTGGAAACGTACATCTGTCTTCTTCATGGAGTGCGGGACCGTATGTCCACTTTGATGCTTAATGAACAGATATTGAGTATCCGTAATGACTCCCAACACAAATTTTTGAAAATCTGGGAGCCGTGGTTGTAATATGCTTTTCCCACGCTCCCCCCCGGCTAGTCTGGGTCTAGGTTGTGGATCGATATTGGCGTTCCCGAATCCCTGCTGTTGGTCTTGTCTTGTTTTCCTCTTCTTACTTTTTGTCTTTACACGTGTCCTTTTTGTCTTTGCACGTTTTTGTAGAGACCTGTCTCTGGTCTGCTTCACTGTTGGAGTTATAACACTGTAATATATATATATATATATATATATATATATATATATATACATACACAGTGGGGCAAAAAAGTATTTAGTCAGCCACCAATTGTGCAAGTTCTCCCACTTAAAAAGATGAGAGAGGCCTGTAATTGTCATCATAGGTAGACCTCAACTATGAGAGACAAAATGAGAAAAAAAATCCAGACAAGCACATTGGCTGATTTGGAAAGAATTTATTTGCAAATTATGGTGGAAAATAAGTATTTGGTCAATATCAAAAGTTCATCTCAATACTTTGTTATATATCCTTTGTTGGCAATGACAGAGGTCAAATGTTTCCTGTAAGTCTTCACAAGGTTGGCACACACTGTTGCTGGTATGTTGGCCCATTCCTCCATGCAGATCTCCTCTAGAGCAGTGATGTTTTGGGGCTGTCGCTGGGCAACACGGACTTTCAACTCCCTCCAAAGGTTTTCTATGGGGTTGAGATCTGGAGACTGGCTAGGCCACTCCAGACCTTGAAATGCTTCTTAAAAAGCCACTACCACTGGGTG